AGCATCAGCACAGGCTCTGCCCCAAACGTTTCTCGGGCTAAAAAAGAGATGTGATGGCCAGAGCTGCACACACAGCCCTGAACAGCACTCAGGAGGTGGAGCAGGAAACGGGAAATAAGCAGAGAGCAAACAAGAAAGCAGCACAGGCAAACAACCAGTGTGGGTAGAGGGAGAGATTCTTTGATTAATCTCTTTTTTGGGGTGGAAAAAAAGCAGTTTTGGCACATGTAAGAGTGTCCAGATCAGCCATGAGCTGAGTTTGCAGCCCCTGGCTCAGGCACTTCCCCCAAACCAAGCCACGTTTAGAGCAACTCTCTCAGCCACAGCAGCAATTTGCTGCTTGATCACAGCCTAGAAAGGACAAGCTGCCCGGCGTGGGTCCCACCAGAGCCTCCAGCAGCAGTGACAAGGAGCCCCGCAGTCCCCGTGCCTCCGAGCAGGGACAGAGCCATCAAACAACCCCTCAGCATCAAAGCACCACGTTCCTTCAAAAAGCACCGAGCTGAGGCTCTGTGGTTTGAGCAGGAGGTTTACACAAAGGTCAGGGCTGAACAAGGGGTGTTCAGGAATCCATCCCCTCCTGAGATGATCTCTGTGGCCAGGCTCGGCTGTGGGGAGAGGGGGCAGAGGCAAGGGAAGCTGGTTTTCTGCTGCAGCAGCTGAGGTGTGAGCACACAGCCAGGTTCCTGACCTGAAACTGCTCCAGCAAGAGCCAGGCAAGGACCCAGGGATGCTCCCAGGTGTCACACAGCTCAGGCAGAGCTGTTCCCCCCTGTTCTTCTCCTCCTCCCCGACAAACACATCGTAACAGTCCCCAAAAAGGTGAAAAAGCTGCTTTTTAAAAATAGCAAACCCTTTAAGGAGCCGAGCACATGCCTGAGTGGGTGGGAAATTAGTGTTTTATTATGGCTCTCTGCTCACGGGGTCTGAGACCTCAGATGACTTGTTTGTGCCCTGCACGGATTTTTGCAGACTCATTATAAACCCTGGCAAAGAGGGGTTTGTAAGGTCACAGGAGAATTTCCATTAACTGGAGCCTGGCTGGGGATTGCCAGCATGATCTATGTCTCCCATTTATGCATATGCAGGGAGGCCAAGAGGAAGCTCCTTTGCTTTATTTCCACATCATCGTGCTGATGCTGAGCTCACCAAACAAACAAACTGAAAAGGCAGTGGGGAAGCAGGGGGAGGAAAAAAAAAATACAAAATGCTGTGCCTGGCTGTCTCCCTCATGAAGGATGCAAATGAATTCTGCAGACTTTGAAGGCAGGAGATCTCAGCAGAGATGAAAATCCCCTGGATGGCTCAGCAGGTGAGGCACTGCGTGGGTATTTTGTTACAGAGCTGCTCACGTGCGATGGGGACAAGGAATAAATGTGGGTATGGGGGTGAGAGCTGCCTCAGGGAGGAGCAATCCAGCAGCAGCAGAACCCTCTGGGCTCTCCAATCCCCCTCCCAGCACCAAGACACCACAGAGCTCTCCAAAGCTGAATTTCAAACACAGAACATCCCCATGGAACTGGGATGGAGGCACCTGGGGGAAATCAGCCCTGATCTCAGCTCCTTCATCCCTGAGCCATCACCTGCCCCCTCGGGAATTCCAGGGGATGGCCCCACCAGGAGGTTGGGGCTCAGCAGAGCTCCCCTGGATTGATTCCACGGCAGCAAATCCAGGAGGATGCTGGCACAGCCCAGACACCAGAGCCCCTGCTCCAGCAGCAGCAAATCCCCGGGCTGGGGGGCTTTGGGAAGAGCAGACGTCACTGCAGAGCCCTCTCTGAACCACACAGAGATGGGGAGAGCCCTGTTTGTCCAGCAGAGCATCTCCTGGGGCTCCCCAGCACCTGCAGCTCATCCACACAGCCCCGGGCCCTCCTCAGCTGCACACCAACCACACCAACTCCTCGTGTCCCTGCACCTTCTCCTGCTGGAATCCCACAGAATCACCCAGGATTTGCTATCAGGGAAGGAGTCACTCAGGTTTTCCCTTTTTTTCACATGCTCAAAGCTGAGTTACACCAACTGCTGCTGCAGCGGCCGAACCGCCGCACGCTCTGATCCCTCTTAACTCCTGCAAAAGCAGCCCCTTCCCATTGGCATATTCACTCTCCCTAACCCAGCTCTGATCCATTTCCACCTCCAAATCATTAGAGATAATAAATAAGCCCAGCCTCAGTGTGAGGAACCCTCACATAATCACATATCTATGCTCCCATCAGCACTCGGCCATTACACTTCTATTTTCTGCAGCTTAACTAAGAAAGCCAGCACTGAACTCTGCCCCTTATCCCACAGCTATTTATTGCCCACATTCTGCTATTTATTTCCTAAAATAGTCTCTTTTGGGTGGATTTAATGAAATATCCAAATAAATTAGGCCCGTTGGAAGATGTTGAACTCTTATTTCCTCAGCCTTAGGAAGGAAGGCTTCCCTACTGGGCAGCCATCCTCTGCATATAAACGGTGGTGATTTGACCCCCAGGGATGGACCATCCAAGTATTTGAGGGATAATTAGGCCGTCCCAGCAGGCACAGAAGAAAAAACTCAGTTATCTGATATCCCAGCTCTTCCTCAGGTTTGGTTTCTGTACAGGCAAAAATTCCTGCTGCATCCATCAGCTCCCTCTGCCCGCTGGGGCTCCTGCCTTGGAAATGGCCAGGGAGGAGGAGGAGGAGGAGGAAGAGGTGTCTTCCCCTTTATGTTTACACCTACTGCTCTTTTACACCTGATTTATCCCAGATCTACTGATTTGGAGCACTTTGGGTGCGTTTCTCCCTCTTTGAACAATCCAGTCACTGCTCATTCCCCTCAGGCAGGCGCTGCCAGCTCTGTCCCTGTCACCAGCATGGGAACGATCCTGCTTTATCCTCTGGAAGGTGTCCCTGTCCATGGAATGAGATGAGCCTGAAGTTCCCTTCCAACTCAAACCACTCTGGGCATCTCCAGTCTGCTCCTCACTGCATTTTCCTCCTCTTTCATCACAACCAAGCCCCACATCCATTACAAAACCAAATCTTCCAGAGGCACCAGGACAACCACAAAAATCCCTCTGTGTTACCACCACATTCTCTCTGCAGGCTCCATCCCACAAAGGAAGTTATGATGTGGATCTTTAAAACTGCTCCATGACCTCCTCGCAGGTTTTACACCTTCTTTCGTCTCTCCAAGCCCCCCATTTTTCCTCTCAGGGACCCCAGGACAGCGTCAGTGGCTGCCCTGAGGTGACAAAGTGGGGTTTCCACCCTCCTGTGCACAGGCACAGCTCCAGCAATCCCACAATCTCCTTTCTGGACAATTTTTTCCTCGTGGAGCTGATGATACCCCAGTGATTCCTCCCTCAGGTGTAAGCAACACCCTCCAAGCTGTTCTCATCCTGCTCAGCACAATTTCGCTGCTCCTCCTGTTCACACACAGCAAGAGGTGCCTTGTTTTAACAGATTCCTCACCTTTTACGTGCTGCCTTGGAAACCTCTTGCCCCAGAACAAAAAGCATTTCTGAGGAAGCTTGCAGAACTTCTGTCTTGCCTTCTGCCTGCCAGAAGCATGAAAAATAAATAAAATCTGACCCCAACAAGTGCTGCCCACAAAGATCTCTCCCTAAAGTCAGTGAAAATCAATATCCACACCTCAGGAACATCAGCAAGCCTTTAAAAAGGGCAAGACATCGACTGTCTGCACATGCTGAGTGCTGAGCAAAACCAGAATAAAGCTTAAATTGCCTTCAAAAAAATGAAATTTCTTGGAGGAGAGGGTTCTCCTCTGCTTGTCTGGCCCAGGGATGTATCAGCTCCTTCATCTCTTGTGTCAGCTCTTCCTCCTCCTCTCCTCTGCTCTTCCTCCTTCCCCTGCTGACCTCAGAACCTTTTCCTTGCACCCACCCAGTGCAAACACCCAGCCTCTCCTCCAGCCAAGCCTTTCCCCTGGCCCTGTTCCACATGGAAAACCATGAGCAGGAGCCAGGAGCAGCAGGAATCTGATCCCCCACCACAGCCAGGTACTTTCCCAGCAGAATTCCCCAGGGTTTAGCTGAGCATCCTCCCAGCTCCTGGGTGAGTTGGAAGTTCTCTCTCTGCTTCTCCTCCAAGCAGAGGCACCACTGTGAGCATGCACAGATGAGATTTCCTGGCACACTGAAGCTTCCAGGACACTTTGCAGGCAGCCCTGCCCCTGCCTTGCCTCGCTGCTCCTTTGAGGAGAAGCCCAGCTCCCTCAAATCCTGCCCCCCTCACCCCCAGACTGCCGAGTGCTCCTTGGCACCGAGGTACCCAGACCTCTGCCAGCCCACATGACTCCTTGGCTGATTTTCCTTGCACAGCTTGCAAAAGAAATCTCCAGCACGAAACTTGCAGCAGCATCTCCGTGCCTGTGGAAGCTGCAGGCAGCTGCTCCAAGTCAGCCACTAAAAACCAATCTTTTCAAGGGGATGTTCATGTCTTTATGCCAAGATTTTGGGACAAAACCCTTCATTTTGGGGTTCACTTTCCCCAGGCAGCCTGTTCCCCCCACACAGGAGCCAGATCACATAGGGTTTAAGAGAAATAACCATTTAAAGGTAATTTTTTAAAAGAGCATTCTCCTTCCCTGCGCTGCCACTCTCTGCTCGGCACAGCCTGTCAGCAGCTCCCCTTTCCCCAAAATTCCAGCTGTCTCATCCCGGGGTATCAATTCCTGCCAGGTGCAGGGGAAAGCACCACCTGCGAACCACAGAGAGCCACGCAGCAACTTTCCCAACTTCTGTCTCTGCTCGTCAGGCCAACCCTGCAATGGAAACCGAGAGGGGCAGGTTCTGCCTCTCACCATCGATTTCTGCACGCAGACTTGTTCCCTTCCAATCGCCAGCCTCAGACACATCAATGCCGAGGCAGGCTTGCATCGAGACACTTTCAACACGCCTTGGCGCGGTGGGAGCCTCACTGCGGATCGTTTCTCCCCCTCTGGGATGCACGACTCGAGAAAAGCACGGCAGGGAAGCCCCAGCGCGGCCGCATCCCCCTCCTACCTGCGGGCACACACGGCTGAGCACCCAGGAGCCGGCGGCAGAGGCGGCTGCCGGTGCTGTCAGGCTCCTGGGGGATGCTCCCGGCTCTCTCCGATGCCGTAGGCTCCGAGTCGCTGCCCGGGGAGGCGGGGAGGGCTCTGCCCCCGGCTGCCTGCAGCGCTCACATCCAGCCGGGATGTGGCTGCCGGAGGAAAGGCTGCCTCGCCTCGCCGGCACAGAGGGGCTGCCTCCTCCTTGGGGGGATCTCCGGGGGGGGTGAGGGATGCTGGAGCCCCGTCAGAGCGGCCGGGATGCGGTGGCAGAGCGAGCCGAGCCGTCCCTCAGCATCCCCGGCTGGTCCCCGGGGAGGCGCCGGGTGCTCCGGCCAGCAGCACCTCCCCTCGAAGGACACGCGTGTGGCCACAAAGCCACCCCCACGAGGGTCCGGTTAACCCCCCCGGGGCCACAACCCCGCCGTGTCAATCCCAGCCGGCCAAAGATTCCGGCCCGATGGATGGCGAGAGCCGGGCAGCGCTTGCAGCATCTCGCACCTACGCAGAGCCGCAGCTGAAGCGGAGTTTGGGCATAAATCAGCCGGGATAAAGTTGGGCCTAGGAAGAGGTTTCTGCACGGAGTTTTCCCCGGGCTCGGCGCTGCCGGTTCAGCAGCGGAGAGTGCCAGCCCAGCCGCGCACGTCTGCGCACACAGCCGGCACCTCCGCGGTCCCAGCGCCGATTATTCCCCAGCTCAACTCCGCACAAACGCCTTCCACAACAACGACCCTTTCCTCCCCCATCCACAGCCTGACAGAATGCGAGTTGGAGAGCGTTTTCCTCGCCGCCTCCGAGCGTGGCACGCCGGCACAGCGAGCCCCGCGCCCGCGGGCAGCATCCCTCAGCATCCCTCCCTGCTCCCGCACCCGGCAGCCGCTCCCGGCGGATCCGCGCGACTTGGAGCCGCACCGAGTGCCCCCTCCCCGCGCTCTTTGAACTTCAGCTCCGCTCAGAGCCCGAGCGTGGCGTTTTTCAACTCTTGGTGCGCTAGAACACCGCAAAGGGCTGGTCCCAAAGTCCTTCAGCGAGTGCAGGAGGCGGTCGGGGGGCACCGGCTGTGGCCGGGGGGGCATGAATGTGGCCGGGGAGGGCTGGATGTGGCCGGGGAGGGCTGGATGTGGCCGGGGATGGGGGGGACACCGAGTGCCAGCCAGGGGCACCGCCGGCAGCCAGCGAGCGGCGGCCCCGCGGCTCCGAGCGCTCCCGGCCCCGCGGCTCAGCAGCGGCCGCGCCGAGCATCCCGCGGGGGTCCCGGGGGAGCCGTGCCCGCGGCTGCTCCGGCCCCGCTCCGGCAGCGGCGGCCGCGGGTCCCCGGCGGCGGCCGCGGGAACTGCAGGGGGCGGGGGGCGCTGCCGGGGCACCGGGACCGCCGGGCGGCGGCGGGGACCCCCCCGGCACGGCGGGGCTGCGAGCGAGCGGGATCCGGGGCGGGGGGATGCGGGAGAGCGGGGCGAGATGGAGGGATGAGAGGGATGAGAGGAGAACGGGGGATCCGGGATGGATGGAGGGATGAGAGGAGAGCGGGGGATGCGGGATGGATGGAGGGATGAGAGGAGAGCGGGGGATCCGGGATGGATGGAGGGATGAGAAGAGAACGGGGGATCCGGGATGGATGGAGGGATGAGAGGAGAACGGGGGATCCGGGATGGATGGAGGGATGAGAGGAGAGCGGGGGACCCGGGATGGATGGAGGGATGAGAGGAGAGCGGGGGACCCGGGATGGATGGAGGGATGAGAGGAGAGCAGGGTGAGATGAAGGGATGCGGGGAGAGCAGGCTAGTGGGATGGATCAGGGGATGCAGGGAGAGCAGGGGGCTAAGGATGGAAAGAGGACCAGGCAGGATGGGAGGATGCAGGGAAATCAACGGAGCCGGGATGAACGGAGGGCTGGACAGGATGGAGAGAGGCAGGGAGAACAGGACGCTAAGGATGGAAGGAGGGCCAGGCAGGATGCAGAGAGGATGGGGCACCGAGCTGTGTCAGGGGAGGTTTGGGGTGGATCTCAGGGAAAGGTTCTTCCCACAGAGGCTGCCGGCACTGCCCAGGCTCGCCAGGGAATGGGCACGGCCCCGAGGCTGGCAGAGCTCCAGGAGGGGTTGGACAGCGCTGCCAGGGGTGCCCAGGGTGGGATTTGGGGTGTCTGAGCAGGGCAGGAGCTGCACTGGGTGATCCTGGTGGGTGCCTCCAGCTCAGCCTGTTCTGGGGTTTGGTGATTCCAAGGATGGAGGCAGCACAAGAACCTGGGATGGAGGGCGCTGAGCAGGGAGGGCAAGGACCACTGCTTCCAGCAGTGAGCAGCTTTAAGCCCAGACTAAACACCTCTGACTGGGACAGCTGGGTTTGGGAAAGCTGTGCTTGCTCCCCACACGTCCCAAATCCTCAGCTGCTTTGGGTCTCCCTGCCATCACCCCGAGTTTCCCTCCTTTTCCCCTCCTGAGAAGGACATAAATGAGATATTTTTGCTCCCAGCTGCTGAAACCTTCACATTAAAGCTTAACCTCCTCCTGGTGCCCAGCCCAGGCTGGGAAAAGGCATCAGGCAGCACTGGGACAGAGCCATCCGTGTGTGAGGCTGGGAAAGGCCAGACAGGATCCTGATCCCCCTGCCTGCAGTGCTGCAGTCCTGTCCTCCTGCTTCTGTTTGTTTGTCATGGCCAGGAAAGCAAAGCTTTTAAACCATCAATTAATTGGACTCTTGCATTAAGAGCAATGAACTATTATTTGACAGAAATTCATCTTCCCCTCCTGCTGAGAAGAAATAAGCTGGAGGAAAAGAATCAGCTTCACAGGAGAAAAATAAAACGCCTCTGCCTCGGAGACAAATTACTCATGAGATACACAGGTAACAGGCATGGGGTGTTTGAGCTCATCCCTTTTACACATCATTTCCCTCAGGACAACAGCTACAAGTCAGTGGCTTTGTGACAGATCCCTTTGTCCCAGTGTCCCTGCCCATCAGGCCATTCCCAGCATTTATTATTCCTGGAATTGATGAGCATTCCCCTCATCTGGGCTGCTAATTAACGACAGTGGCCCTGCAGGTCCAGGTTCAGCCCTGCCTGGCTGAGCAGAGGTTTGGCTGACAGGGCTGGGATTTCTCCTGGACCCAGAGCAGCCTCTGTGCCACCTCCAGCAGTGGGAGCTGGGCAGATCTCACCTCTCACCTCAGCTCTGAGCACGCCTGGGCCAGGCAGGGCACCCCCATCCACCTTGATCCAGGTGGATTCTGCATCTTCCTCACAGCTCCTTCCTTGTGCCAGCACCCCACTCTCTTTTAGAGATTTTTTGTGTGGTTCAGATCCATCTCTGCCATGCCCTGAGTCCTTCATGCAATTACTGGAGCCTCAACTGAAGACCTGGAAACGCAGAATTTCTCCAGAATCTCCATGTTATGGCATAAATCAGAGCAGACTCACAAGTTAGAGCACCCTGGCAGCCAACAGGGTGAGCCAACAGCAGGAATCCAGAGGAGACAGCTCCAGAAACTGCCTGCAAAGAAATCTGGTTTGGTTTTGGGGTGGGGGAAAAAAAATCCAGGATTCCAACACAGGAGAGAGGTTTCCACAGTGCCTTCTGCTGGGAAGTGTTACGTGGGGAGAGGAGGGGGAGGGAAGGCACCCAGCGAGGTTTAAAATAGAGTTTGGTCATTTTATGAATGAGGTGATGTGACACAGTTCCCTGCCAAAGCTGGAGGGTTTGGTGACCTAGAAAATCCTGTTTGGGGAAGGAGCTGTTGTTGGTGTGAGGCTGCAAATCCAAGTGTTACGGAGGGGGTGGGATCCCACTCACGCTCAGGGCACTCAGGCAGGGAGGAGGTGCTGAGGATTCCAAAAGCCCTCGGGGGTGCTCAGGGCAGGGCTCTGCTCCCCCCCTGTCACCCTGTTCTTCTAAGCCTCCTGATGTTTACATTATTCTGACGAATTTCCTCACACGGTTTTATGTAAATAATCATTATTTTACATGCTTCTCTGGAGGAGGAGGAATGTGATGGGCTGTTGGTTTGTCCAGTGTCATTGGTGAGGTGGCACTGCCACCCTCCAATCCACTGTCACCTCTGGAAATCTGTAAATTCTGGAGTCAGAAAATAAACTTCTCTTCTTTTTACCTTGGAGGTTCCAGCGTGTGTGTGTAGTTTTATTTTGTGTCCTGTAGTGACACCCCCAGCCAGCCCAGGGTGCTCCTGCCCAGGGGTGTCCCCTGAGGTCACCCAGGCACAGGGGAGGGAAATGGAGCTCATTGTCCCAGAGAGAGCACAAAGGCCTGGGACCAGGGCACACCCCAACCTGCTTTGGGGTCTCAGGGCAGACACAAACATTCTTTGGGGTCACGATCCAGATCCAAATACAGTCCAGGGTCTCAATCCAGACTCAGGGTCACAATCCAGACCCAAAGACACTTTGGGGTCTCAATCCAGACTCAAACATTTTTGGTGTCACAATCCAGACCCAACAGGGTCTCAGTCCAGACCCAAACATTTTATGGGGTCTCAGTCCAGATTCAAACACTTTTTGGGGTCTCAGTCCAGACTCAAACACGATTTGGGATCACAATCCAGACCCAAATACAGTCCAGGGTCTCAATCCAGACCCAAACATTTTATGGGGTCTCAGTCCAGATTCAAATATTCTTTGAGATCACAATCCAGACCCAAATACAGTCCAGGGTCTCAATCCAGACCCAGGGTCGCAATCCACACCCAAACACATTTTGGGGTCTCAATTTAGACCCAAACACTTTATGGGATCTCAATTCAGACCCAAACACTTTATGGGGTCTCAATTCAGACCCAAATATTTTATGTTGTCTGCATCCAGTCACAAAGACCTTTTGAGGCCTCAATCCAGATCCAAACATGATTTGGGGACTTAATCCATCCCTAAATACACTTTAGGGTCTCAATCCAGCCCCAGGGCCTCAATCCAGCCCCAAACAGATTTTGAGGCTTAAATCCAGCCCCAAACACATTTTGAGGTCTAAATCCAGCCCCAAACCCTTTCCCCAGCAGCAGCTTTGCCAGGAGGGTGCAGGAAATCCTGTGCTGCTGCACATGGATGAATCTGCCCCAATATTCCCCAAACTCCAGGCTGGTTTTTCTGGGAATAATCCCACACCTCCAGCTCCAGACATCCGGAACAAAGAGCCCCCAGCAGTGCCCACTGCTTCCCTCATAGCGGGTTATTTATCCAAGCAATTAAATTCCCTTTTCCCTGTCAGTGCACGGAGAGGGGCTCTGATCTCAAACTGACGTGGAGGTGAGCAGTGAATCATTTAAAAAAACTGCTACATTTATCTTCATAGGTGGCTGTATTTCAGCAGAACAGTAAATAACAGCCCCACTGCCAAAAAAAAAAAAGTCCAATTCAGGCAGAGCTGAGAGATTTCAGGGGATA